GATTTAGACTGCATATACAATCGTCAAAAAAAAAATTGAAGCAGGGCAATTAGGCCTCCTAGGTTCCAATTGTTGGTGCAAAGATTGAAAACGGAAGCTAGGAAAGTAACATGCTGATTCTAAGCACAACTCCATTGATATTTTTGTAAATTATGTAGCTATAAATAATTGTACCAAGTAATTCATTTGTGCAAGTAACATAGTACTCCTTTCACTTTTTTAAGTCATTTTGTATAAAAAATGTATTATTAATTATTTTATTTTAATATTTAATATTTAATTATAAATATTAATTAAGTTATCATTTTGACAAGCTTTTTAAATTAAATTAATATTATAAAATGATATATATTAGGATAAGTTGGTCTATTGGGTGAAAAAAAATCTTGTCCCTAAAAAATGTAGACCAAATTTTTGAAAATTTGTGAGTGTGACTAGTTTATATTGAAATATAAGGAGTTTATTATTGAAAATTTAAAATTTATAAAAAATTTATCATTGATATATATTGGTATATCATTGATAAATATAATAAATTAGTCATAATATAAAATATAATAAATGTTGGATTATTTGCTTGATTTATTCTTATTATATTTGCAAAAGTTGCTCGCGCGCACACACAAATATATAATTCGTCGTTCCTTCTGTTTTTGCAATAAACTAGTGTATCATTTGATTAGGTGTGGATTTCATTATATTTCATGATGACATATGTTGTCTTTTCACCTTCAATAAAAAGAGGGTGAGTGATTCCGCTGCACCCCAACGACTTAGCAAAGATTGGACATGGGAATGGAAACAAGTTCTGGTACGAATACGATATCCTCACTGCCAACTCTCTCTCTCTCTCTCTCTCTCTCTCTCTCACACACACACAAAATTCTGTCGTTTATTTCAGCCCATTGTAAGAAGGGGATTATAGTGTTGGATACATATCCGCCCTTGATGAGAATCCGGTAATTATATTGAATTAAATGAGTATTAATTAAGTAAATTCTGGTTTAATAAGGTATGGCCAGAATTAGGAAACATCAATTCGTAATTATTTTCTCCATTATGAGATGGTAATACAATTTGTGGAAATAGTGACATGTCTTCTTAATTCCAACATGAGATATATTTATACAAGAGAAAAAGATCTATCAGATAATAAAATAAAATCTATTAAAGAATAAAATAATAAAAAAATAGCTATAATCACCCTAACCATACAAAATAGTATATATAATAAAAAATCTAATACAAAATAGGATTTGTAGATATATTTTTCCTAAACTAAGGCTTTAACAATATAAATTGTTTTTGTCCGTGTGTACATGTTGTCCTATGACGACATGTATATTTGCAGACTACAAGGAAAGGTAGCATTGATCACAGGTGGAGCTAGGGGAACAGGAGCATGCATCGCTAGGCTCTTCACTAAACAGGGGCAAAGGTGGCAATCGCCGACATTAGAGATGAACAAGGCAGAGCCGTATGCAATGATATTGGACTGGAATATGCTTCGTACGTACACTCTGATGTTACAAAAGAATCTGATGTTGAAACTACCGTAAACAGTGCTATTTCTAAGCATAAAAGCTTGACATATTGGTCAACAATGCTGTTCTAATAGATGAAGCTAAACCAAGCATTGTTGACAATCAAGTGAGTGAATTTGAGCGTGTTCTTAGCGTGAACCTCACAGGTCCTTTCTTGGGCACAAAGCATGCTGCTAAAGTTATGATTCCAGAAAGAAAGGGAAGCATAATAAATGTGGGTAGTGTTAGTTCAAGTGTAGGAGGGGTTGCCACACATGCTTACACAAGTTCTAAGCATGGCTTGGTGGGCCTCACCAAGAATGTGGCTGCTGAACTTGGAAAATTTGGGATACGAGTGAACTGTGTTTCTCCCTATTCATTGCAAATGTTGCTGCAAAAGATTTCTTCGAGTTAGAAGATGGTGGATGCTCGAGTATTCATTCTAATCTTGAAGGGATATATCTGCAGGAGGAAGATGTGGCTCATTGGCTGCGCTATATTTGGCTAGTGATGAATCCAAGTACATCAGTACATAATCTTGCGTTGGATGGAGGCTTTACTTCTATTAATCCAAGTTTTGGTTTGTTTTCTAAATCAAAGTAGGTTTGCTTGAGTTCACTGATCTGCTAGTTCTATATAGGAGGGCAAGTTTGTTTCAATTTAGATACTCCCTCCGTTCAAAAATGTAAGGCATTTTTTGAGGAGTTGGATGTTCAAAAATATAAGACATTTTTAGTCTTTCGAGATGTAATCATTGTCTTTTTTCTAAAAGTGTCCCTATTGATAGTGACTTTATATTTATTATAGGGTATTTAATGGGGATAAATATAAAAAGATAGGGTTAGTTTGAAAGTAGGTAACTATTTTATTGGGGAGTGAGATTCGGTTAAAAATGCCTTATACTTTTAAACGGAGGGAGTATCATATATTTAATTTTCTGAAAAATTTTAGCCGTGTGTGTGTGGATGGAAATTGGAAACATGACCTCAAATGATCCTTACAATGTGTGTTAAGCTGTAAGTTGGATCATTATGTTGCTTGGAAATTCTATTATGTTCCGCTTGAATGAATGAGGATTTGAATTTAAATCAAATATCTCATTTGAATACATAAAAGTCTATAAATTTATACTTAATCCAAATCCATATCTAACTTTTATTATAATTTGTTTGAAATTTTAGCTACTTCAACAAATTTTTTTTTTTTCACGTTTTCATTATTGGTTCTTTTGTTACTCTTTTGTTTCTCCTTAGATTTCTTTTCCTTGTCTCTCTTGCCAATCGATAAATAGAGATAAATTTGTTACTCCCAATCTTCTGTGGTTTCTTCCAATTTCAACTAGACATGGATTACAAAGAAGTTCATAAATTTTTGTATATCTAAAAATGAGGTATTTCGTTACAATTCAAATTCAAATTCTCATACTTCCAACCATTAACATACATTTAAATGCCACGTCACCTCCATCCTTTTATATGCCGCCATTATTTGTCAAGCATAGTGTCATTTTGTGGGTCCTAATTATACCTAATTATAACACATGCATCTATGATTATTCTTTATATATATATATATATATATTCTTATAAATAAAGGAAAACATAATCATTAGTCCCTATAATTTTATCAGCTTTTGCTTTTAGTTTTTGTAATTTTTTTCTAGTGTTTTTAGTCCTTATAGGAACTAAAACCACTGAAAATACTAAAACTATAGGGATCTAAATAGCAAGTGTTACCAAATCTCGCTAAAACTATATGGATTGAAAATACTGAAAAAACTAAAATTATAAGGATTGATAATTGTGCTTTCCCTATAAATAAATATATAACTTTTTATAATATAAGAAATATATTATTTTCAATAAAATAATACCATCAACGCTAATTAAGGGTGTTTGATCAAATCAAACTGGCATACACTAATAAAAAATTGTTAATATTTTTGACCAAAAAAATTGATTGCTGTTTAGGTTTGGTTTGCCATTTAGAATGGCCAGACCAAATAGTTCAATTCACCAATATATTTATAAATCATCCACCAATGTATAAAATTCTTACATCACTTGTGGAATTTGACCCCATGACTTTGTAATCTTTACTAACCAAAACCAACCTTTATTGCTATAACACAAAGGTTTTATTATACAAACTTTTGCGCATAATTGTTAAAAATTAATTACGTGCTAACCTAGACATGTAAATTGGTCCATTATTAACATGTGGAATTGTCAATTCTACAAAACCCAATTGAATATCTATCCTAATTTCCCTATTTCTAACATTTCAATTAGAATACCCACCATTAACCTCTAGAATTTCATGTTATTTTTCCAAATTTTCCTTAGTTTTTATGATATTTTAGCAAAATTGTATATATTTTGAATACTTAAGTTAGGAAATTGTGTATTTTGTTTTGGAAATTCACATCATAGCCTTATTTTGGTATTTTTGGACTAAGTTTGTGCTATTTTAGTTGAATGTTGTGTTGGAGGCATTTCTGGTTGTTAGGTAAAGCTTTTGGAAGGTGTTATGATGAAGAAGTCAAATGCAAAGGTGAACACAATCATGCAAAAAGGAGAAGCGTACAGCAAAGATTCAAGTTGCACTGCAAAAAAAAAAACAGTGGATTAATCAATACAAATTTCATCGCTAAACGAGTTAGCGATAGAATTAGCAACAGAATAAGTCCGTCACTAAAATTACCAACACTAATTTGTTAGCGATGCTAATTAGCAACAGAATTAGAGACGGAATTCACTACTAGAAAAATAGAATTTAGCGAGGGACAAATCCCTTATTAAATGCCATTTTTCCTAGTTAAATTGCATTTTAGAGAGAGATTTTTTCCCTCGCTAAATTCGTAGCTAAAAACGGCTTGCTAAATTTAGCGAGAAATCGTATTTCCACTATTACAAAAAAGAGAATATAAAATAGTTATTTTTCTTACTATTTAACGGTTATGAACCATTGAGTAATATGGCGCTGAATATTCTAGGATCCTTTATTCAACGGTTTTTAACCGTTAAATATTATCCATTTATTCAATGGTTTTTAGTCCAAAACCGTTGAATAAATTTTTGCAATTTAGAAATGAGAAATTGTGAGAGATAATATTCAACGATTCTGGACTAAAAACTGCTGAATATTTTGCTATTATTCAACGGTTATTCACTTATAACCGTTGAATATATGTACTTATTCAGTAGTTCTGTGACACAACAGCTAAATAGTTTATACTGTCTTATTGGTCATCATATTCAATAATTTTTTCTCATAACTGTTGAATATTATGACCCAATTTTTTGCATTGGGTAGACTGCATTTCTAGCAACCTCCCTGCATTGAAAATTACAAAATGATATTCCAGCACCCAAACACAAATTCCATCCAATAATATTCACGTATATACATATAAGTGTACAATAAATTTCTATAAAAAATTTATATACAACTTGAAGTTCTTAAATTAAACCAATTAGAGGCTAAAACATAAAGCTCTAAATCCTAAAATTTGCTTAAGTTTTCTAACTATCACTGTTGCTGGTTGTTAAAACTAAAGCATGCTTTAAAAATACCGTGTGCTAACTCCTCAAGGAGTTCTTCCATTTGAGCATGAGTATATGTGTCATAGTTTGCATCCTCGTAGTACTATATGCAACAATAACAACAAATTAAAATCATGTTGATTGATAAAAACTAATATAATATTAATGAATAGGAAGTCAATATATATTACATCATTCGAAAGAATTTCGGTTGGAGCATGTTGGATTATGTCCTTCATGAATTTCATGACAGCGTGTACCCACAATCCCTAACTTTGTCTACTTGCTCTGGGTGCTACAATCATACAATAGATAAAAAAACTAAATAGTCAATTAATAATATGACATGACCTATACAGTGACGCTGCTAACATAATTAATGATAAATACATATACCTTGACAACTGTCCATGATGCTGCTGTATCAAACCGACCGTTGCCCTTTACTAGTTATCAAAATTGTTTATCAACATCAGTGCGATACATGACAATAGCCCTAACATGAAATAGAAAACTTGACATGAGAAATATTCATACAAAAAGAACAAATTACATATATATACACAAAAAAATTAATCAACTTACTGATTAATCATTTTCACAATATGTGGTTTGTTAGAGAGATGGCCACCATGAAGAGGGTTAAGGTACCACACCCTCCCTAAAGTTGGATTGATCACAAGTAACATCCAGTGTCCCCTATGACAAAAATTACAATTAGGAAGTGTCATATAAATTATCAAATTTTGAATAAATTAAAGTGAAGCATTGTAAAGTAACTTACCCTTCACAATAAGGTGTTATGAATATTGTGTTCTTGTTGGCACCACGTTGGTGGAAGTACTTTGAAAGCTTCTGATATATTTTCAGTCTTTGCTTAGGACTCATTATGTTATGGCTATAAGGAGAGACCATATGAGGACTGACAAATATAATCCTCTGTGCTATATCTCTTCCAGCAAGCATGGTAGTGTAGAGGTTTCTTAAATTTTAAAATAAATAGAATAATAAATGATTAAAGTATGTATGTGTGTGTGTATAGCTAAATGTTTAATGAAAGGTTTCAGAAACATACATCATATATAAGTTACATAGGGTAGTAGTAGCCTCTGCATGGTTGAATAAATCATCCAACACCTCATTGTTAACTTGGTTAAAAGACTGTGGATTAGCATACATGTCTACAGGAAAGGGAGCAGCACTCCTTCTTGCATCTTGGCATAGGTATTAAGCAATTGCTGATTTTTGTTAGGTGCGGCTTGACACTTAGAGGCTTGAGGCTGAGGGGCTTTAGGCATGAGCTTGGGGGAGAACCAGTGTCTTTTGGGAAAATGTGATGGACTCCTTAGATTTGTCAGAGCTCTTCTTATCATTTCCCCTCTTCCACTTAGTAGTAAATGCTTTTATAGCCTCCGATGCTTTCTTTCCCACCGGTTTATCAATAGGCTAATTTTTTCAACATATAAGATAGTTGGATATCAACTACAAAAAAAATGCAAAAGAAGTTAATTTTCAATTATGAGTTTAACAAATATACCTTTGGAGATGGCTCTAAAAAGCAAAGATGATGAACCGGCCATGCAACAAAGCTGAGCAATGCATTTACTACTATCCTTGCATTTGGAATGAGATAAGGTAGATCATAATTAGGATCCTCAGCTATCTTTAAAGAGACTTTCACTGTCCTTTCAGGGATGTGTTCATTGTGAAGCATTACTTGCCCAGTAATGTTGTACATGCACCCTAGTACAACCACATGTCCATCTTCTGCCAAACAATCAACGTTGGCCTTACCTTACACAAATTAAAAAAAGAAAAAAATTATGTAATATGAACAATAAAAGTAGTATTATCTATAAGACTATAGTAAAATGAATAATAATATCTCAGGTAAGAGCTGAGATGGGATAATGCAACTATCATTCACACTAGGGCTATTATCACCCAATAGAAGCCCCAACTTATGTCAGCTCAATAGCATGTTTACGAGTCTAGATTGTTCTTGTATCTGTTGCGATTGTGCTAGTATCCGCTACTTCTGTTCCTCTGGCTCTTGCCTTAACTCTTAAACCTCAACAAAAGAAGTAGCCTTTTTACTGCGCTTGAACCCATCTCCAAAGTAATCTTTTCTTGTGGCTCCAAAGCCGACGCCCTGAACACGACCAGGATGGTCAGTATTCCCCAACACCTTTTCCAATATATCCTCATCAATAGTTTGAGTGCTTGCTAATGCGTCCTAAGTCAAAGTCTCCTGTGAAGCAAAAAAAGAAAAGTAAAAAAGTAAAAATTAATAACATTATACCAATATATCATTAATATTTACTATTGTTTTGACAACCGCTTTTGTTTTTGGGTTGTTAATATTGCCTTCTTTATTTTTTCGAGCTTCAACCTAAATCCTTCAATAGGATATAGAACCCTCCGACACTTGCTCTTTCTCAATCAAGCCCTTTTCAACACTCGCATATCCCTTGTGTCCAACCTTAAATGTATATTCATTTTTCTTCCCCAACAATTCATGCATGTCATTGTCCACCTTACGTGATATCATTTGCTCCTTATTGTGTTATATATTTATTATGTTTATGCCAAAGCCAAGACTTGAACACTTAATCTCATACCTTTCAAGCTTTATACTCTCCTTCTTTGCCAATTGAACTGAAAGGCACCTGCAGTCATTATATAAGAAATTGAATATATATTATTTAACTATATAAATATATCAAACAATATATTATAAAAATACACACATATATACATATTAAATTTTATTTTCAATTATTAATATGTTAAAAATATTTATATTTTATTTAAATTATTCTTTATATTATATTTTTAATAAAATATTATTTTATTAATGAAAATCAACTTAAAATAAAGAAAATATTAAATAATTTTATTATGAATATTTTAGTTAATTTTTAAATTTGATTTTTATTTTTAAATGAAAATAATTAAATATATAATTAAAAGTCATTGTCAAAAGTTAAAACTTTTTTTTTGCAGTAATTAGCTAGGGACAGAATCTATTGCTAATTATCTTATTTTAGAGAGGGATTGGTAGTCCTTCGTTATTTTCCTCACAAATTCTCTTATTTTAGAGAGGGATTGATAATCCTTCTTTATTTTCTTTGCTAATTGTCTTATTTTAGAGAGGAATATATTGGTAGTCCTTTACTATTTTTCCTGCTAATTTTAAGTCAAGTTATGAAATCAACATCCCTTGCTAATTTCCTCATTAATTTGGTATTTTAGAGAGGAGTAGATGACCCCTTACTAAATTCCTTGCTAATTTGCATTTTTCTAATAGTGATTTTAATTCTGTCACTAATTAGCGACAGAATTAGTGATAGAAAATTTTCGTCTCTAAACAAGGATAAGCTATTCCAATTCTGTGATGAAATGCATTCTGTTGCAAATGAAAATTCTACAAAAAATCACTATTGCCATGTCACCTAGGGGCTAGTGCCACCTCATCGCCATGCCACAGCCACCTCATCACCCCTCCCTGCCACGTCACCTCCATGTCACTATTTCCCTGCCACATCATCTCCACGTCATATATTAACTTTAAATAACTTCACATATGCCTTAGCCAAGTTCAAACCCATAATCTCACACCTTTATAAGTCTTTGCATCCAACTTTATTACCAGTTGAGTTGAAGGAGATCTTTAGTCTTTAATTGATAAATTAAATATATAATATTTAATAGCCCCCCCACACACACACATCAATAAACATATAATTTAAATATATTTATTTTATTTAACATTATTTTTATTTATCAATAAAATAAATTATTTTTTATATAATACTTATTTTATAGTATATTATAATTTTAAAAAAATTATTTTTTGATAAAAAATTAATATTAAATTGAAAAAATACTTTATTATCACTATATATTTTATTATCATTTTTATAATATATAACATTTTATATTTTTAAATTATTTTTTTAAAATATTTTCATTTTTAAATAATAGTAATTAGGTCTGTTACTATGTCATCAAAAAAATAATTAAATATATAATTTAAATTATTGTAATTATTATTAATATCTAAATAATTTAAAATAATAAATTATAATTATTAAATTATTATTTATAGCATAATAAATTATTAAATAAATTATATATAAATATATATTAAAATCATATAATAAAATTTAAAACAATTTGCCATGAAATTATGATGGAAAGGTTTGCGATAGAATTTTTCATCTCAAATGCTGTCACAAAATGAGAATAATGTATTCTGAAAATTAGCGACAAGCATTTTCATTAAAAAATTCAGTCGCTAAATTATTTCTGATAGTTTAGTGACAGAATAGTGACAGAATTTTTAGTGATGGAATGTTTCATCGCTAAGTGCCATCAGTAAACTTATTTCTAACGATTTAGCAACGGTATACCTGCTAATTTTTTAACAACAAAATGTTTTGTCACTAAATTCCATCAATAAATTAGCGACATATTTTGACGGATTAGCAACAGAATAAATTTTTGTCGCTAATTTGCTATTTTTTTGTAGTGTTGCGACTTTAGTCGTGCCTTTTGCCTCCAAAAACAAACCATTTTAATTAGCTGAAAAAATTAGAGACAAATAGAATTTGCTTTGGGCATTGGAAGAGTTGAGATTAAGAGCTTGAGGCTTTTAAGACATTTGGCACTTCTTTTCATTGGTTTTTGTATTTCTCTTCCCTTTATTCTCTTGTAATATAATATGACTGTCATTATTTTGTATATTTGTTTCTTTTAGATGATTATAAGTAGTTAAACAATTTTTGTCTTTGAATCCTTTCATTGATTAACACTAATTTTCCCCTTTCTTTTTATGATTAATAATATATAAATGTTTGTTTTACTCTTCTGTAAATGCTTTTAAATAATTGACCATCAGTCAGATGTCTTGTTCTTTTTGGTAAATGCTTTTAAATAATTGACCATCAGTTAGATGTTTTGTTCATTTTGGTGCACTACAAAAAAATAACTTTTATTGACTCTAAAGGTTTTTAGAGGCGCCTTTTCACCATCAAAGGGTCGCCACCAAAAGTTTTATCACTAATGGTTTTTGACAATGACAAACATAGTCGCTGCCAAAAGTATACTATTAGTGACAACAATTGTCATTGCCAAAAGTATTGTGTTACTAAAAGTTTACCTTTTAGCAACCCTTTGTCGGTGAAAAGTCACTTCTAAAAATATTTAGCAGTGACTTTTGGCGGCAATTAGTCATTTTTTTTAAAAAAATAAAAGAGCCATTTCATACCGCGTCAACTGACACCTTGTGCCACATCACCTGCCATGTGTGCACTTCCTCATGCACGGCACGTACCACGTCACCTCACCATGTGTGTGCCACATCATGCCATATCACCTGACAACTTATGCCATGTCACTCCATGTTGCCACCACGTGCCACGTCACATATTCATTGTGAAAAAGCTAGAATTTGAGCTTATAACTTCCACCTCCCAAGTCTTAAGTCCTCCTTTTTTGCTAGTTCAACTGAAATGCATATGCAATTATTATATGCAAAATTAAATGTCACGCCCCAGTATTAAGGATGTGACCGGCACGAAATATGAGATACACTCACATTCTATAAACCTTAATTAACCAGATGTAATTGATAAATAATTCCTACTTGTCAAAGAGCCTTATATATATATATATAATTAGAAAATTGATAAAATCTTAAACATTCTATTGAAATTTTTGTAAAACCTCTCCTGTAATTAGGAACTCCTAAAATTTCTATAGAAGTAAAACCTGTCACCCAAATTAGAGAGGAGCTTAGCTCCACACTAGTATATTTCACAATGATAAAATAAGACTAGGACCTGACTATGGTATACGTGAAGCACTAAATTTATAATTTTAAATAAATGCATAATTACATCAAAGTGGATGGCCAAAGAGTGCTCCTACTATCCAAAAAAGCAATACTGCCCCTCAATAATCAGCAGGAGGCACAGGGTCAATTACAATATCTAAGACCAAAGAAAGTTTTTGGTGAGTACTATTCCAATTGAGTTTATAAATTATAAGTAAATATAAATAAAAATAAAACTACGAAGATAGTAACTAATAACTTAGTTTAAACAAGTCAAGGGAATGATGAAACACTTACTTTAACTAATAATACATGATGAGTTTACTTATCGATATAATCGTGAAACCAACAATAATATTAGAGCCAAATAAGTTTATCAAATTTTTTCTGTTCATGATATATGTAAAATTTCAAGTAATGCTGCAATTTAAAAAAATGCCTTTAAAGAAACTTATATAAAAATGATAATTTTTAAATTCAATTTAGGAGGGCTTTATCAAAACAAAAAACAAGTGTAGACACACAGTCCACAAGGGTAAATAACCAATTAAGTGTAAACACACAATCCACGAGGATAAATAACTAGTCAAACATAGCTAAAAGCCACGAAACAAGTGTAGCAGGAGCCACGAAACAAGTGTAGGCATGAGGCCACAAAAACAAGCGTGGGTACAATGCTCACGAATAACCAACCCTCCAATTCACATGCGTTGGCCTTTGCATGGGGCCAGCACCTCCTACAAGCACCCTATTAGTTAGGTGTACCATGGCGCACCAAAGGTTAACGGAACTGCTGTTAACAACCAGTGTTTTGAACGAAACTTTAAAGTTTTCATCTTCAATCTCACCATTCAACTATTATTTCCCACCACCCAACTTCATTTTCATAACAAACATGAAATTAAATAATCAAATTGCATTACCATAAATTATTGATAAAATCAACACATAATCATAAATAAAAAATTATTGTAAAAATTTTAATTGAAAAAAGATATTAACACAATTTATAAGAAAATAATATTAAAATTTAAATAAAGAAATTTTTATAAATACATTACTAGAAATTTATTTGAAATACTACCCACTCACTTGAGAATTTTCCAAGAATATTAAAACTTGCTTCTCTTAACTTTTTTTTTACTTTAATTTTAGTGATGCCCTTAATTTCCTAACAAATAAATCATAATTCTAAAATCATTTATCAAATAATTTTTCAAGTACTTAGTGGGCATTCAAACTCAATCCAAACAATATTAAAGATAATATTTTAATCAATTATGTTTCAAATATACTTGAGTTAGTTAAACTTTTACCGACTCTCAATTCATTGTCATATCTCCTTGTAACCTATTCTTAATCATAAGTCATAATAACTCATATCTACCATTCTCATGCTTCCTTTAGATTTAACAACATACCATACATGAATCTTGTGTATTCCTTTCTCCTATTTTGATATTTTAAAACTCTAAAACTTACATACACTCCTTTGAATAATATTTATAATTCCTCTAGGCTCTACTATAAAAATTTAACAATTTCATTTCCATCAATAAACTTTCAAGCATAGTTACAAGCATTATGAGAACATTCACCATTAAATAAATCATGACAGAATCATCCAAGCCAATTCTACAATTTTCAACATTTAATTTCTTCATCAATCTTTAGTTCAGCATTCATAAAATAGCATCCAATATTATTCAAAACAGCACCTAATTTTTTAATTCAAGCATTTTCACAAGCATCTTGAGGGCATCCAAATTCAACTCCCAACAATCATCTAACCATTTAATCAACTTCCAACATTAACTTAATCATTTAACATTCAGTCCATTGCCAACTTAAAATATTGCACAACATCAATTAAAGTATAATTCAATTTCCTCAAAATTATGACATCAACTATGAGGGGTAAGGGCCGAATTTTCACCCGTAAAAGAGAAGAATTTCAGCCTACAATTATAATTACAAGGCCCCTTCAGGTGCGGAGGAAGGAAAAATGAAGGTTAAATACATACATGATACCCACAGTTGAGGAGAAAGAATAGATGGCAACCAAACACACACATATAACTGTCGGCTACTAAGCAGAAAAACGGACAAAGAATAGCGAATAAAGAAAGAGAATTTAACGACTTCAACTCTCTCAGCTGTGAATTTTTTTTTTTTTAACAGTGAAGCAAGAAGACTGAACACACACACCCACGCAAACCTGGAAGGAGCAGAGCAATGACACGAACCTAGAAAGAGTAGAGAACAGTGACAGAAAAACCAGCATCTTCACCACTTCCAGAAGCCCATCACGACAGCAAGGAAGAATAGCCGGTGATGGATAGACAAGCTCAACAGCCACTCAGAAAAGTGAGTGATTGGCAATGCGAAACTGGGGATAGGCAGAACTCACGAGCTGGACCTTTAACAATGGTGGAAGGTGTTCTAACACACACTCACACCAACGAGGGCAAGAAGTATGATGCCGGAATAACGAAGGGGGAGGGAGAGATCTCTCTCGACTCTGGAACTTTCAAAAATGCCGAAGGAGGATAAGGAAAAAATTGAGGCAGTGCGTGCGTTTGACGAGAGAAGGAAAGAATAAAAATATGAGAACTAGACATTAGGAAATCGCAAAAATTACAACAGAGGACACAAAATTTTCATTTAATAACATACAAGGCACATGTACTTTAGTAATTTTTTCACAATTTTAAACTAAATAAAATTAATATATTATTCAAAAGAATTCAAACTCTGAACCTTCAGATAAACTATTGGTATAAGTTTTACTAATTTACTACTCTCCATTTTTCATAAAACTAATTTAAATAAACTATAAAATGGGAGAAATTTTTTATTTTATTTTATTTTTTTTAAAATTTAGGGTCATTACATTAAATATATATTATTTAACAACATACACGTATATCAAACAATGTATTATTAGAAATATATACATACATATATATATATATATATATTATTTTAATTTATTAATATGATAAATATATATATATATATTATAATTTTTAATAAAATATTATTTTAATTGTAGCAAATATTTTTTTTGAAAAATAAAATTAAAATGAAATAATTTTTAAATATTAACTAATTTTCTTATAAATATTTTAACCCATTTTTAAATTTTATTTTCATTTTTTAAATGAAAATAATTAAATATGTATTATATTAGTTAATGTTAAATATATATATCTTTTACTTTTTCCATATTTTTCTCAAAAACTAATAAATAAATGATTAAAATTTTATCTTTTTCCAAGTTAAATGGTTCCCCTTCTTTTATTAAAAATAAATTTTATCTATAATTTTTCAATTAATTTAAAGAATATTTTTAAAAAAATTTATTTTAATTATATAAATTTTATTAAAAGTCATTTTGAACAATTATTTTTTATTATCTTTGAGATAGAAAAGGAGTGAACACGTGATAAATTAAAAGTAGATGCTAAATTAATTTTAATTTTTTAATTATTTTTTTATGAAAATACTTTTAATGGCAACAGTTTGTCACCATTAAAAGTAATTTTATAAATTATTTTTAATTTTTAATTAATTTTTATGAAAATATTTTTGGCAGCAACAGTTTGTCGCTACTAAAAATAATTGTATAAATTATTTTTTATTTTTAATTATTTTTTATGAAAATACTTTTGGCAGTAATTACATAAATTATTTTGAATTTCTTAATTATTTTTTTAAATACTTTTGGCAGCCACAAACATTAATTGCATAAATTATTTTTAATTTTTGATTATTTTTTATGAAAATACTTTTGGTGTTGCCGCTAAAGGTAATTACATATATTATTTTTAATTTTTTTATGAAAATACTTTTGACGGCAACAAAATATCACCTTTGAAAGTAATTATGTAAATTATTTTTATTTTTTAATTTTTTATAAAAATATTTTTGGTGGTGACTTTTAGCAGCAACACAATGTCACCGCTAAAGGTCGACTTTTAGCAATGACTTCTAATAGTTGCAGTCAAAAGTAGACCTTTGACGGGGATTTTTTTCATTGTCGTTAAAAGTCGTCGTCAAAAGTCTTTTTTTTTTTCCCCTTTTGTAGTGGTGATATTCACAGACAAGCCTTTTCATCGTATATGTCGGCTCCATTAATAATGGAAGAAACCTTTCATTGTCAAATTAAAGAATCAATTTATATTTCATATAGAAGCCTACCTTGGAAATCCACGGTTCAGAAGAAAAGAAAATGAATGACCAAGCAGAAGGACATAATTGACTCATACCAAGAGTTCCAACCAAAAAAATTAGCTTTGACCAGCCTTGTGATGAGTTAGTTGACGACCTAACTATATTTAACCCTACATTTTATGGAGTTTTCGTATACAGTTTCATCTTTCAAGATTTCAGAATCCTGCTGAAGCTATCAGTACTATCTATAATTTCTTGCAAATATGGCTGGTCTTCCGCAGCTCGCTCTAGAGACACCAAGGTACACCCCCACAGACACAAGAGAATTCTCCATCGAAATCATCTTTGCTTATTATAAGTAGTTGCAGTTCTTGCTGGTAATATATAGCATTTGAACAGGGAACATACGTAATACTTTTTGAAAGTTAAAGCCCAAATATGCTATTTGCTTATACAATTATAGTGCAATAGATTATTTTAATATGCCGCTGTATATATTTAATGAGAAGGGTCTGAATTGCTTGGGTATATCAGATAGGGGAAGAAGAAGAATTGTTTGTATTGCACAAATAGTCTAAGAATACTTTTGAGTCCAATTACTTAACAAGTTTGAGTATATTTTAACCTCTCATTTATATATATATATATATATCTCTCTCTCTAAAACTCTATTTGATATGAAACTTTTTTGCTTCTCTTATCACTATAAGTCATGTCCACCAATAGTCGACATCCTAATACCATAATAAGAAATCTTGATATGTTGATGACTACATATACATACCTGCATGCATGTGCTTAAATATGTATTTATAAATATTAACTTAATAAACTAATGCTGTACTTAGATCTCATTTTCACTACTAAGGCTGTGGTTCTCATTCCTTTAGCTATGTAAGTTGTATTTGTGCGTGTGTACGTGTTGTCCTCACGACTAGTATATTTGCAGATTACAAGGAAAGGTGGCATTGATCACAGGCGGGGCCAGGGGAATAGGAGCATGCATGGCAAAGCTCTTCACTAAGCATGGGGCAAAGGTGGTGATAGCAGACATTAGAGATGAACAAGGCAGAGCAGTATGCAATGATATCGGATTGGAATATGCTTCATATGTGCAGTGCAATGTTACAAAAGAACTCGACGTTCAAAATGCTGTGAAAGCTACTATTTCTAAGCATCAAAAGCTTGACATAATGGTAAACAATGCTGCCATAATAGATGAAGCTAAATCAAGCATTGTTGACAATGAAACCAGCGAATTCGAACAGGTTCTTAGTGTGAACCTGACAGGTCCTTTTTTGGGCACCAAGCACGCTGCTAAAGTTATGATTCGCGAAAGAAAGGGAAGCATAATTAATGTGGGTAGTGTTTCTTCAAGTGTGGGAGGGGTTGCAACACATGCTTACACAAGTTCTAAGCATGGCTTGGTGGGCCTCACCAAGAATGTGGCTGCTGAACTTGGAAAATTTGGGATACGAGTGAACTGTGTTTCTCCCTATTTCATTGCAAATGTTGCTGCAAAAGATTTCTTCAAGTTAGAAGATGGTGGATGCCCGAGTGTTTATTCTAATCTTGAAGGGATGTATCTGCAGGAGGAAGATGTGGCTCAAGCTGCGCTATATTTGGCTAGTGATGAATCCAAGTACATCAGTGGACATAATCTTGCATTAGATGGTGGCTTTACTTCTATTAATCCAAGTTTTGGTTTGTTTTCTAAATCGAAGTAGGTTTGCTTGAGTTCATCGATCTGTTAGTTCTCTGTGAGAGCGGAACTGTGCTTCAATTTGGCTAATAATATATTCTCTGATGTTTCAGTTATTCATTCATGCATATATCTATATATGGATGCAACTGTGTGTTCCTATGTATATAAGTTGGATCAATGTTTGGAAATTTTTTTAATTTAAATGCAACATCACCTTAGGCTTTTTATATTAGGAAAAATGACAATAAAATTTCTTTGAATTATATAAATAACATTTAATTTTTCAAAATGCCATAATTTCTTTGAAATCTCTTGGAACTTTTTGTCATTAAAGAATTAATATAAATGATGAAATTGTCCTCAATTCAAATATCAATTGCCATTCACAAGTTTTATTCTAAGATTTACAACTTTTCTTCTTAAAATTGCAACAATTTAACAGCAACTCATAAGTTTGAACTAATGGTAATTTGGTCATTTATATTAATTTCTTAATGACAGGAAAGCTCCTAGGAATTTTAGGAGAATTATAGCATTTTAAAGGATCAAAATATCATTTACATAATTCAAAGGGATTTTATTATCATTTTCCCTTTATATTATTTGTTAAGCATCCTGCCATGTTGGGTCCTAGAAATAACACGTATATATCTATGACTGTACTGTATATGATTATTTTTTAGATATATATATATATATATATATTCTTGAAAATAAATGTATTCTTTTCAATTAAATAATACAGTAAACAATTAATAAGCAGTTGGCAATAACTTAATACACACACCAACTTAATGCACACAGTACACGGTACTGTACGTGTATTTATATTAGGATAAATTCAACAAACTTAATTATGTATGTCACGCTACTAAGACCGACTTAATGAAATTGATTTAGTTTCTTTATGGTCTCATTAATTGCAAAGAGTCTCAGAAATAAGTGCAACTGTTTATAAATTATGAATAGTATATATTTACCACATAAAAATTTTTTGAATAGTATATATACTTTAATCCGTGGTATATATCTACATAATATTTACAAACCAAAACAATCCCGTCACAAACTCAGGCGCACACGATTACACATGTAGCCTTCATCCACCCACCCACCCACCCACACACACACACACACACACACACACACATTCATATAGCATCAATGTTTGATTTATTACACTGCAATACAATTCAGTACATCTCCACAGTAATAAGATACTTCTTCAGCCTTCTCTCTTTTCAATCTAGAGTTTGCTGGGCATGTTTGATCTTTCAGGAAGCTAAGTTGCAGGCACTAGTCCCAATTCTCATCCTCAACCTTTTCCAAGTATTGATTTACGATTTCCTTTCTAACCTGCTCCAGCTTCAAAGATTAACACCACAATTGTACAGGTTGAGCAAATGTAGTTAATGGTAAATTAAGGTCAATCCCACAGAGAATTAAGTGAAATGGCAAATAGGCATTTTTTTTAACCAAACAACACATAAGCATTGAATTTCAAATCTCATTCCTGTCAAGCAACTAAAATTTAGAGTGGTTTTAGAACAATTCAAAGTAAAATATCAAAGTTCACAATTAAAATAAATTTCAATCTACAAACAAGCTAAAGGCAACCAAAAGAAGAGTATTCTAGAGTCTTAATCCTCTATTTGCTTTCTAACTCTCATTACCATTTAATTGACTTGAAACTTAGCTTTGATAATCTAAGAGTTTAAATTAATCTAGAGCATGTTCCGATTATTAAGAATCCTAATTAATCCAATTAAAGAAAATGATTTCCTTAATTAATTAATTGCATTAGAGACCCAAACTCATGAGAGGATTACCTAGGTCTATTAGATACATTACTACTCTAATAGCAAAATTAGCTAAACTAATCCTAGGCTATTAGTTCCCAAGGTATAATTTGAGTTTCCTCTTTCAAGGTTCAACCTAAATGTCCAAATCTCTCTTAATGGTGGCTGAACACTAAACAAGAACACAATAGCCTAAGAACAATTAATCAAAACTTCATTTCTCAACAACTAAACAGTAAATCAAAGGTTATTTACACAAATAGCTTCATAATCCTCTAGAACAAAAAGTATGTAGCTACATATAGCTAACATTGAAACAATGACAATAACTAAAGCTCTAAAATTCATAAGCATAAGAAAAAAGAAGAAAAATTGATTAGTCATTATATTGTTTTATATATGTTTTCTTGACTTTCTCTTCAACCCAAAGCTTCAAGACTACAAGGCTTGCTCTCCTAAGGTTGCCTTTAGCTCCAAGGGTAGAAAGTGTGTGTTTCAACTAAGAAAATTGGGTCATGTAGGGTTTTTCTGCACAAAAAATGAATTTGTGTTTTAAAATTTTTGACAGGTGTAGTGGCACTCCTTCTATGTTGTGGTGCCGTGGCACTAGAGAGGTATCAAGTATAATTCCAGCAATGCCATAACAACGTAGCTACTATGCCACAGCATCAGAGACACAATCCATCTAACTTTATTTTTTCAACATTAGTGCTTTAGCACCTAAAAATTAGCCAAAGTTTGATGATTTTGAAGCATATTAAAGGAGTGGTCAGTGGTCACTACCATTTTCAAAACACCAACTTGGAGGCATTCACTACTAAAAAAATGCAAATTAGTGAGGAAATTTAGCAAGAGATCATATATTCCTCTTTAAAATACCATATTAGCGAGGGATGTTAATTTTGTAGCTCAACTTAAAATTATCGAAAAAAATAACGAGGAATTGTCAATCCTTCTCTAAAATAAGAGAATTAGCAAGAAAAATAGTTATTAGTTAATGTTGCACGGGTAGTAAAAGCTAGTTTCATTAGAACAAGGGTGGTGCATTTCATTTCAAATGTCAATCAAAGTTACAACACTTTTTTTAGTAAAAATTATTTGTATTATTGATAAGTTTTGATCCATTTATGAGTTTTAAATACTAACAGTTCCTTCACTCTCTCTATCACACAAAATATATAGGTTATACTAAGAACAACTAGTCAGATTAAATTAGCAATAAAGAACATACAACAATTCCTACAAAAAAGAAAAAGAAAATACTTCTTCCGTTTAAAAATATAAAGCATTTTTTATGAGTTAGATGTTAAAAAATGTAAGACATTTTTAGTCTTTTGAGGTGTACTCATTATTTTTTTTACAAAAGTGTCCTTATTGATAATGACTTTCTATTTATTATAAAATATTTAATATGGATAAATATAAAAAATAGAGTTAATTTAAAAGTAAGTAACTACTTTATTAGAGGTGAGGTTTGATTAAAAATGCTTTGTATTTTTTAACAGAGGGAGTATAATAATAGTAATATGTTTGTATAATATATGCATGTGTGTATTAAAAGTTATTTTAATCATTAATAAAAAGGTTATTTTCACTTATGTTATCAAAAAAAATTATTTTATCTTAACAACATTTTTAATTTTTTATTAATTATTATTGTTATTTATTTAAATTATTTTTTATTTTTTTTAACATCCTCGGCAAGGTGGGAGCCTCATGCCAGTTAATATTAATATTATAAAATGGTGCGCACGCGTTTTATTAGTGCGTCATTTGGTTATGTGAGGATTTCATTTCACTTCATGGTGACATGTCTTTTCATCTTTAACAAAGAAGAGGGTGAGTGATTCCGCTGTGCCCCAACAACTTGGCAAAGATTTGACATGGGAAAAGAAACAACTTGTGATACGAACGCGATATCCTCACTGCCAAGTGTCCCCCCTCTCTCACTGCCAAGTGTCTCTCTCTCACGAAACTTCTGCCGTTTATTTCGGCCTATTATATGAAGGGGAATAGTGTTGGATTTATATATCCGACCTTCATGGGAATCCAGTAATTATATTGAATTAAATGAGTATTATTAATTAAGTATATTATGGTTTCATGAGGTATGACCAAAATTAGGAAACATCAATTCGTAATTATTTTTTTATTATGAGATGGATTAATGACAATTGAATTTCTCATTATGTGACAGTCTTCCACCCTATAAATAGATGTGATTGATTGAAGAAAAAACTCTCCTCAAAACAAATTTTTCTTGTAATGGCTTTTCTATCTCCCTCTCTTTCTCTCTTAATGAGGTGGCTGTGCTTCAATAATGGAGGAGTGAACTTCAATCAACCATTCATCATAAGTCACTTTCACAAGTAGACATTTATGTTTGGCCAAGAAGGACACACAATTAACTCAAACCAAGAAGAGTTCGAACCAAAAAAATTGGTGCTGACCATCCATGTGATGAGTTAGTTGACGACCAAATTATTTAACCCTAAATTTTACGGAGTTTTTGTAGATATAGTTTCAACTTTCAAGATTGCGGGATCCCACTGAAACTATTACTATCTGTAATCTCTTTCAAATATGGCTGGTCATTCGCGCCTCGCTCTAGTGAAACCCAGGTCCGTATACCACGGGAATAATTCTCCACAAACTTTCACTATCTGCTATAAATGATCTCTGCTTATTACCAGTAGTATTTCACTATAAAAAAATGGCTAATTAATAACGGAATTTTCCATCACTAATCAGTAAAAATTTCATAGCTAAATAGATTAGTGATGAGATTTGCAATTTCGTCGCTAATTAGTGATGAAATTAGCAATAGAATTGCATACGGAAATTTTCTGTCATTGAATAAGGATAAGCTATTCTAATTTTGTGACGGAATGCATTCCATCATTAATCCGTCGCTAATTTTCCAATGGGCTTATTCTGTCTTCCCACATCACCCGGTGGACTAATGCCACTTCACCACCATCTAGTCACCCAATGGACTGATGTCACCTCACTGTCACGTCCTAGTCACCCAGTGGACCAATGCCACCTCACTGCCATGTCACCACCAAGTCATTTGGCATTGTCATGTTAAATATTATTATCTTTAATTATGCCTTGGCTAGATTCTAACTTGCAACCTCATACTCCCTAGTGCCTTTATGTCCACCTTATTGTCAATTGAGCTGAAAGGAATCTTCAATCTTAATTGATAAATTAAATATATAATACTTAACCGCACACACATATATTAACAAATAGATTATTTAAATTATTATTAAATATAGTACGTAAATTTACTTATTTTTTTAACATTACATTTATTTATTAATATGGCAAAATTAATTTATATATAATAATTATTTCTATTATATTTTGTTTAAAAAAATTATTTTTGATAATAAATTTAATATTAAATTGAAAAATATTTTATTATCATTATATATTATATTATAATTTGTATCTATATAATGTATAATATTTTAAATTTTTATTTTAAATTATTTTATTTTATTTTTATTTTTAAATAAGAATAATTAAGTATACAATTTAAATTATTATTAATAATGTACAAATAATTTAAATTATTTTAAATTATTTATTTATAACATAATAATAAATTATTAAATTAAAAATACTTTGTGACAGAATTAGAGACAGAATTATGACAAAAAGCTTTGTGACGGAATTTTTCATCACAAATTTCATCACTAAATCAGAATAAGATATCCTAACCATTAGTGACGGAATTTTTTGCAGAAAAATTCCATTGATAAATTATTTTTGACAGATTAGCGATAGAATAATGATAAAATTTTAGCAACAAAATATTCTGTCGCTAAATTCCATCGTTAATTAGCAATGGATTAGCGACGAAAATTTATTCCGTCACTAATTCACTGTTTTTTGTAGTGTTTGAACATGGAATATCAAGGTAATATTTTTCTTTTACTTTAACAAAAAGCCTAAACATTGAAATGTGTTGCATATGAACAGTTCTGAAACAATAGATTTTAATATGCATCCATAGATATTTAATGTAAAGCATCTGAATAGTGCTTGTGCATTTCAGATAGGGAGAAAAAGAGTTGCTTGTATTACTATTGCATGCACAACCTATAGTCTAAGAATACTTTTTGAGACCAACTAATTTAGCAAGTTTATGAATTAATCTTATAATTATATACCTAAAACTTCTAGAAAGGAGAGTTTCTCCTCCTCACATTAAGTCATGTCCAGGCATACTTGACATGCATCCTTATACCTTAAGAATAGGAAATCTTGATATGTTGATGACAACATATACATGCATGCAAAAACATGTATATATAAACATTAGCGTAACAAACTAAGGCTTTAACAATATAAATTGTGTTTGTGCGTGTGTAGATATTGTCCTATAACGACATGTTTATTTGCAGATTACAAGGAAAGGTAGCATTGATCACAGGTGGGGCTAGGGGAATAGGAGCGTGCATGGCAAGGCTCTTCGGCAGACATGGGGCTAAGGTGGTAATTGCAAACATTCGAGACCAACAAGGGCAAGCTATATGCAATGATATTGGATCCAGATACGCTTCCTACGTTTACTGTGATGCTACAAAAGAATCTGACATTGAAACTGCCGTAAACACTGCTACTTCTAAGCATGAAAAGCTTGACATAATGGTGAACAATGCTCTCATAATAGATGAACCTAAACCAAGTATTCTCAATAATGAAACTAGCGAATTCGAAAGTGTTCTTAGGGTGAACCTAATAGGTTCTTTCTTGGGCACCAAGCATGCTGCGAAAGTTATGATTCCTGAGAGAAAGGGAAGCATAATAATGGTGGGTAGCGTTTCTTCCCATGTAGGAGGGGTCGCAACACATGCGTACACAAGTTCTAAGCATGGGTTGGTGGGTCTCACCAAGAATGTGGCCGTTGAACTTGGCAAATTTCTGATCCGAGTGAACTGTGTCTCCCCATATTTCGTTACAAATGTTGCTGCAGTAGATCACTTCAAATTAGATGATGAAGGATGCTCGAGTGTTTATTCTAATCTTGAAGGGGTTTATCTGCAGGAGGAAGATGTGGCTCAAGCTGCGCTATATTTGGCTAATGATGAATCCAAGTACATCAGTGGACATAATCTTGCATTGGATGAAGGATTTACTTCTATTAATCCAAGTTTTGGTTTGTTCTCTAAATCAAAGTAGGTTTGCTTGAGTTCACCGATCTGTTAGTTCTATATAGGAGGGCAACTTTGTTTCAATTTGGATATAATATATTTGATTTTTTGATAAATTCCAGCTCTGTGTGTGTGTGTGTGTGTGTGTGTGTGTGTGTGTGTGTGGATGGAAATTGGAAACATTACCACGAATGATCCTTAAAGTGTGTGTTCGGATGTAAGCTGGATCATTATATTGCTTGGAAATTCTTTTATGTTACGTTTGAATGTTCGGATTTAAATCAAATTTTACATTTAGATACATAAAAATCTGTGAATTCATATTTGATCCAAATTTAATACGATTGTAATTATTTGTTATGTTTGTTTCTTTTGGGTAATTATGAATAGTTAAACACTTCTTTTCTAGAATTATTTTGAACCTTTATATTGATTGACATTAATTTTCTTCTCTTTTGTAATTAATGATATGTAAGTATTTATTTTACTCTTTTGTAAATGCATTGGCTATCATTTAAATGTTTTGTTCATTTTTGTAATATTGTATTCACATACAAGCCTCCCATCTTATATGATGGGTCCATTAATAATGGAAGAAACCTTTCATTGTCAAATTAAAGAACTAATTTATATTTCATGTCGAAGTCTAACTAGGAAATCCACGATTCAGAAGAAAAGAAAATGAATGACCAAGCAGAAGGACATAATTGACTCAAACCAAGAGTTCCAACCAAAAAAAATTAGCTTTGACCAGCAGCCTTGTGATGAGGTAGCTGACAACCTTAATATATTTAACCCTAGATTTTATGGAGTTTTTGTATACAGTTTCATCTTTCAAGATTTCAGAATCCTACTGAAGCTATCAGTACTATCTGTAATTTCTTGCAAATGTGGCTGGTACTCTGTAGCTCACTCCAGAGACACCAAGGTACACCCCCACAGACACCAAGAAATAGGGAACATACAACCTTCCATCCCAAATTATAAAATATTTTTAGGGAAGATTCAACATCCCAAAATATAACACACTTTGATGAAAATAAAGTCTCACTAAGAATATTTTTTTAATATTACCCTTCCCTTATATTCTCTCTCTTCAAAATTCTTTTATTAATCGAGTATTAAATGAAAGGCATTTTTGAAAGTTTACATTTTTTATCTTGAAAAAGTAAGGTTATAAAATAAATTTAATGAGCTTTCTTGGTATTTAAGATTTTATCTAAAAGTATTTTATAATTTGAGATAGAAGGAGTACTTTTTTTAAACTTAATATAAAGCCCAAATATGATATTTGCTTATGCAATTCTAATGCAATATATTATTTTAATATGCCGTTGTATATATTTAATGAGAAAGGTCTGAATTGCTTGTGTATTTCAAATAGGAGAAGAAGAAGAATTGTTTGTATTGCTCAATGTATAATCTAAGAATACTTTTGAGCCCATTTACCAAACACGTTTGAGTTTGAGTATGTTTTAACCTCTCATTTATATATATATATATATATATATAAATTGACTTTCAGCGACGACTTTCAATGGCAACAAAGGGTCACCACAATATTGTCGTAAGAGCTCTTGTCACTGATTCTATCTACGGTGACAATAAAAGTCACCGTTAAAAATATTCAATTTGTTGCTACAAAAAAGGAAAATTTGTTGTTGTAGAAACATAACCGCTATTAAAAGTTGAGAATTAGCAACGACAAATGTTGCCGCAAAAACCACACATCAACAGTGACTATTTAGTTGTCATTAAATGTTGAGCATCAACGGCAACCTTTGTCATCACAAAAACTACCAATCAGTTGCTGCTGAAAAGTAATGCTAGTTTACCTAACCATATAGTGCCATGTCACCATCCCACTCCCATATGTGACGCCACATCAAGTGCCACGGGTCACCCTCCATGTGGTGCTATGTCACCTACTACGTCTTAGTCACGTTGTCCTCTACATGTTGCTCCCACCTCACGTCACGTGTCATCATGTCACCAATTTATTTTTTCATTTCACAAATTGTCTTCTCCAAGGTTTGAACCCATAAACTCCTTCTTTTGTGTCCCACCATTTTTTTGCTGAGCTGGAATGAACTTAAAATATATTATTGCATAATTAAATATATTATTAAACTAAACAAACACACATATGTCTTAAATATTAAATATTATAAAATATCATTACTATCATTAAATTAATACTTTAATTTAATTTTTTTAATTTATTAAAATTGCAAATCATATAGGTAGCGAGTGATGTGGCTTTGTGGATGGTAGAACCAGGAGGGAGGGAGGAAGAGTAGGTGGTTGAGGAACTAAATGAAGAACTCATGGTTGCTGTAGGGCTTGCGACGACAAGGCTCTGGTACCAAGATAAAGTTAAAGAGAATGATTGCATATATTGAAGATGCATGATTCGATCTCAAATCATGCAGTGGAAGTGGTCTTTACTTGTGGGCTCTATGGATGATTTGGGCCGTATGACTTGATCTACTAACACAAGATAGAGCCGTATGCAATGATATCGGATTGGAATATGCTTTATATCGATGTTACAAAAGAACTCGACGTTCAAAATGCTGCAAAAACTACTATTTCTAAGCATCAAAAGCTTGACATAATGGTAAACAATGCTGCCATAATAGATGAAGCAAAACCAAGCATTGTTGACAAGGAAACCAACGAATTCGAACGGTTTCTTAGTGCGAACCTGACAGGTCCTTTTTTGGGCACCAAGCACGTTGCTAAAGTTATGATTTCAGAAAGAAGGGAAGCATAATAAATGTGGGTAGTGTTTCTTTTAGTGTGGGAGGGATTGCAACACATGCTTACATAAGTTTTAAGCATGGCTTGGTGGGTCTCGCCAAGAATGTGGCAGTTGAACTCAGAAAATTTGGGATCCAGGTGAACTGCGTGTCTCCATATTTAATTGCAAATGTTACTGCAAAAGATTACTTCAAATTAGATGATGAAGGATGCTCTCATGTTTATTCTAATCTTGAAGGGATATATTTGCAGGAGGAAGATGTAGCTCAAGCCACATTGGATAGAGGCTTTACTTTTATTAATCCAAGTTTTAGTTTGTTTTCTAAATTGAGTAGGTTTGTTTGAGTTCATCGATCTGCTAGTTCTATGTAAGAGCGAAACCGCATTTCAATTTGGCTATAATATATTTTCTGATATTTCAGTCATATATATGATGCAACTGTGTGTTCTATATGAGTTAGATCAATGTTTGGAAATTTGTTTAGTTTAAATGCAACGTCACGTCGGACCTTTTATATTATTTGTCAAGCATCTTGTCATGTTGGGGTCCTAGAAATAACATGTATATATCTATGACTGTATATGATTATTTTTAAGATATATACATATATATTCTTGTAAATAAATATATTATTTTAAAGTAAATAATACAGTAAAAAATTAATAAGTAGTTGGAAATAACTTAATACACACAATACACAATACTGTACATGTATTTATATTAGGATAAATACCATAAAATTGCTGATGATTTATTATTGTTTTGTGAGGCGGAGGTGGAGCAATTGGAGGTCATGATACAGTGTTTGACAAAGTTTGGTGAGATCTCCGGTCAAAAAATAAATCTATAAAAGACAGTTGTGGCATTTTCAAAAAATGTTTCACAAGAAAAATGTGAGGAATTGGTAAGCTGTTGTGGTTTTCAACTAGTTCTAGAGTTGGACCATTACTTAGGCTCTTATACAACTCATGATCGAAGAACTAGAGGTTAAAATTAATTTTTGTTGGATAAGGTACAAAAGAAACTAAGTAGGTAAAAGGCACAAAGTTTGTCTTTTATCGGGTGGCTAACATTAGTTCAATCAATTATACAAGTTCCTATTTTTACTATGCAACATGATATTTTACCTAAAGAAGTCTGTTAGGAATTGGAACAAATGCAACGGGACTTTATTTAGGGTTCCACTTGTGATAGGCAGAGGGTTCATCTAATAGGGTGGGAAACTATATGTCGACCAAAAGCATTAGGAGGCTTTGGTTTACGAAATTTAAGAGTAATGAATGAGGCCCTATTAAGTAAGATTAGACGGACAATGCTTGTATCCCCACAGAAATTAAGTTCTCAAGTTCTAATAAGTAAATATGGGCAAAGAGAGATGTTGGATCACCAATGCATTATTAAACATATCGATTCTATTTTATAGAAGAAATTGGGTGGGCTTTAGCCGTGTATACTATGGCACGTTGGATGGAAGGTAAATAATGGGAGCAAAGTAAACTTCTGGGTTGATAGGTGGGTGGTTAATGGTACACCTTTAGTTGACCAATACTTGGTGGTTCCTGCACGTTCTGAATTATGGAAGCGTGCAAGGGATTATGTAGCTGAGAAGGGTGGTTGGAGATTAGAGGAGTTAAAGGCTTGGTTACTTAAGGATATAGTGGGCCAGATTCAAGCTACGCTGCCTCCTTGTATGTCTGCGGGGGAAGACAAAATTTGTTGGTTAGATGGTGGTTCTGATGATTTTAGTATTACTATAATGTACAAGCATCTAAGTGGTTTTGATCAACAAGAGGGAAACAGTTTTTGGATAAAAATTTAGTCTTGAAAGGGTCCGAGACGTATCTAAATGTTCATATGGTTGGCTGCTTCAGATAGATTACTAACGTTTGTTTAAAGGTTTGACAGTATTATTGGGTCATCTGTTTGTTGTAGGCATGGATTGGTTGAGGAGTCATGTTTGCATGCGTTGAGAGATTGTTCTTATGCATGCAGTGTGTAGGAGTAGTTGATATGAGGTATGCATTTTTCTAATTTTTTTATTTAAATTTGTATGAACAGTTTCAAAAGAATTTAGGTGGTAGTTTAAAGGGAGATGCATGTAATTGGCATTTGATATTTAGGGTGGCTGTGTGGTTTATATGGTCTTAGAGGAATAAAATGATGTTTGATCTTAACTTTGATTCCTCCAAGATTTCTGCTGTGAGTATTTTGCAATAGGTTGAGGGGATTAAGAAAGCTTATGATGTGGATGACAATATTTATCT